GAATGTAGTTGGTTAAAACTCTAATCTGTGGTTTATTTATATAGATAAAAATTTATATATATATATATATATTTAATTCTAAATTAAAGATTAGTGACCTCCAGGCGATGACAGGTGCCCAATACTCATGAAACCGTCTAAAGCAGACATTTACCCTGACATTGAAATAATTGTTGGCTGTTTAACAGTCTTTGGTTTCATTAATTAATTACTTTTTATTCCAGTTTATTATGTTTTGGCTAAGCACACAGTTATGTTCATTAAATATTATTTCCTATTCTATGTTAACTGTATAAAATTAAATAAAGGTGCAGTACAACCAAAAAGATGTTGGTAACCAAATCGTTTTGGGGGCTATAACATTCTGTTATTATCTGTTAAAAGTTCATTTGTATTAATTTCTACATTGAATTAAAAAAGGTTTGAATTTCTATAACTAACGTGCAAAAGATATAGCCCTTTTCACAGTAATTTGCTGTAATCATGCTACCTGCCGTAATTTCACAATAAAATTATGAATACAACATATTACTGTGAATTTTTCAGTTAAATACTGTGAAGGGATACTAATGTAATTTACTGTGAAAAATTACAGTAACTTGTTGTGAAAACCTGGAAATTTTTTACAGTGTATGTTTCCTTGTGAGATCAGGCTGGGAAAACCAGAATTAAACAAATCTAACAACAGTCACTTGCAGCTAATCTGAACTGCAAGTCTACGACTTTTTATTAAAACACCAGTAGGTGGTGCTTTTAAAGCTATAAATAGTCATTAGTCAAGTGCATGATAATAAACTAGAACTACTAAAAACTGAAACTAAATATATAAAAACTAAACAGAAATGTGTTCACAAAAAAACAAACTAAAACTAACAAAACCTATGCTAAACAAAAATTACCAACACATTTAAAATTAGTATCACAACAACCATTAATTTAAAAAGTGCAAAACTATAGCAAGACAGGAAGGGGCGAATTGAACCTGACTGGTCACTGAAGCACATGATAAAGCCAGATGCCAAAACTAAACAATTGAATCTCTAAAAAAACTGACTGTAGTTCTCACTGCATTGCATTGTAATTGCTAAAAATGTGGCGACTAATACTGCTATAAACACTCACCAACGCTTGGTTTTACTTGCATTTAGTATGTTCATTTTTATACAAGTTCACACTTAAAGGTTTAACATTATTTTCTCTTACATAGTTTTACTACAACTGCTAAAAAGGTATTATGCTCCAGAACATTTAGGATGCTGTAGTATCTGTGATTGTATCTGTGGCACAGTGGAACACAGAAACCAAGGATGTTTATGTGCGGGGGTATAAATATAAAAGTATAAATCATGCTTTACTATATCTCTTAATTTTTCAAACAACCATGCCAGAAGATACTGTGATCATATTCCAGGAGGATAATACCAAGATTCATCATGCACATTTCAATTGAACATTTCACCCTAACCCCAATTAATGTCTTAGTCTCAACAAAGTGGTTGATCTCAGGGTGAGGCAGTGACCGGCTTTACAATCCTCTTTAGCTCAGATAACAGAGTGCACTTGTCAAGCATTGTTTCAACAGCCTTAAGCAAAGCAATTGGACTGATAATGGGAGCAACTCTGTATAATGGAAGCATCTGACCCTGAGGCATCCCATGTCAGCTCCAGCACATCACAAACTTTCAGTGTGGTTCAGGTTAACTTGTGGCCAAATCATGTGTGAAAAAGCCTTTATTGACAGTCTGAAGCCATTCTGAACACTGGCCCTACTCCAGTTAGGGTTAAAAGAATATCTTCTGAACAAAGTAACAGAAACAGTAACGAGTCAACATATTTTTTATCTACTCTTAAAAGTGGCATCGAATTAAAATCTGTATATACCTACGCATAGTTGAAAACAATGAAAACAATACCGGCATAATAGAGCTCTCAGGTAATGCAACCATGAATGCATGTCATCACAGCTTGTTGTTAGAATGCAAATTTGGGAAAGGTCTGTTTGAATGTATCTTTTGTTAGTTTAATGTGTATATTGTGAAATTTCTTACGTATGTTTATAATGAGGCAACAAAAACAAGCAGACTGCTGAATGTACAGTACGTATGGAATGCATTTAGACCCTCTTTAATTTATACTCTTTCTTTAATTGCAGCCATTTGCTAAAATCATTTAAGTAATTTTTTTTCATAATTATTGTACGCACAGCACCCCATATTGACAGGGAAAAAAAAACAGAATTGTTGACATTTTTATAAAATTTTATTTATTAAAAAAGAAAAGAGCTCAGTGGGCTTCATAATCCTTAAATGGATGACATTTTGGACAACCAAAACCCTTCCTACAGGTCGCCATGCAGCCAAACTGAGCTATCGGTAGGGCCAGACGGTATCTACGGATGTTTGTTTGCTATTTCCGTTGAGAATTTTGGTAAAAGTCTTCGGATTTCTGTTTAATTATTTTGGGAGTATCATAACTAAAACCTTAATGTATGAAATAAAAAATAATATCTTTAAAACTTTTATTTAATGTTTAAAATGCAAATCTAATTAGATTTAATTTATTTGGTAAATAAAGCAAGTTTGTCATATAAATACCCCCCCTTCACAACAACATGAGTGCTCTTAGATGGCCCAGCCAGAGCCCTGACTTAAACCCAATTGAGCAGACCTAAAATGGCTTTCCACCAATGTTTACCATACAACCTGACAGAACTGGAGAGGATCTGGAAGGAGGAATGTCAGAGGATCCCCAAATCCAACTGTGAAAAAAACTTGTTGCATCTTTCCCTATAGAAGACTCATGGCTGTATTAGATCAAAGGGTGCTCCTATTAAATACTGAGCAAGGTATTTCAGTTTTCCCTTTTTAATAAATCTGCAAAAATGATAGGTGTGAACAACTTACATCTCTGTCTAACTTCTCTACCACTAAAGTTGGAAATATTGTCAATTAAGAAGCAAACTGATCAATTTGTTAAAATATATCATTTATGAACTGTAATATGATTACTTTGCATGGGTTTATAGCAGAGTACATGTGTGTTTGTGTGTGTGTGTGTGTAACTGTCAGGCACTGGCACAATCTGCAGAGACCATCAGAGCTTATAAATATACATGACCTTTCCAAATATGGATAAAATTGAGCTTCTGATTCTAGATGTAATTCCTACAGTATGATTATAAATGAGTAAATAAAACCATTTCTGGAGGATATTTTCTTACTTAAGCCATATACCTACTATTTCGATATCAACCAAACATTAAATCACTGCACTCTTCAGCATTTTAAATGTTTGCTTACTTAAATCCAAACAGGGGCTGGTAGATTTTTTTTTTTTTTTTTTTTGTAGGGGATATTACAGAATATTGGCAGATCTAAAAATGAGGGAAGAAGCATTCATTCATTCATTCATTCATTCATTCATTCATTCATTCATTCATTCATTCATTCGTTCATTCATTCATTCATTTTCTTTTCGGCTTAGCCCCTTTATTAATCCGGGGTCGCCACAGCGGAATGATCTGTCAACTTATCCAGCATATGCTTTACACAGTGGATGCCTTTCCAGCTGCAACCCATCTCTGGGAAACATCCACACACACTCATTCACACTCATACACTACAGACAATTTAGCCTACCCTATTCAACTGTACCGCATGTCTTTGGACTGCGGGGGAAACAGGAGCACCTGGAGAAGGGAAGAAGCATAAATACATAATTGAAATTAAAACTGCCTAACATTACTAAATGAAAGATCGCACTCAGAAAGTTGACTGTGAGTGTTGATGGATTCCTGAATGTGACCTAGATGTGCTGTAGCCTTTGGACTATTTTTTTATTACATAATGTTACGGCCGTAGTGATCCTGTTTAATATCCAGTCTCCACTAGATGAAGATGTTCTGTGATCTGGTGTTTTTTTTGGAGTGCTGCAGCTAGTATGTGTTTTTCCGTAATTGCTTTTGGACCAGGTGTGGAGTGTTGCATGTGAGAATTGTACCACAAGCTTTCATCCTGTCCTCTTCAGCTTTGGAGTTTTTTTTTTTCTTTATGTTTAGATATCATTTCTATACATTTTAAATAAATATATTTAAATTGATTTGATTTTCTGGATTTTTGATCATTTTATGATTTTGTTACTTCCTTCTTTAACCAGGAAGTTGTAACATAAATCAAGATATTAAAACACAGGGTTTTATCATACTATTAGAACGGAGATGCCCAAACGAGGGGCTGTGGCCAAATGGTTTAAATAAATCAGATTTAGTTTAAAAAGTAAATATTGTCACTCGACAGATAGAGAACAATGCAGAGACTTTGGTGAGCAAATCAATACAAAGGGAGATTCTGCTTGACCAGTGTTTTCAGCATTGAACTCCACTGTGTTATAAATGTCATTGTTCATGTTTTGATTGCAGTAAGTTATAATTACAAACGTTATACTGCATTAGCTAATATAATTTAAAGTAATGTACTCTATTTTTCTCTAAAAATCATGAAATGGATTAGGAGATCACCCATGGCCAAATTTAATGTAAAATAGTTTGGTATATTTATTTTAGGCCCACAATTCTCAATGATATTTGGTTTTTGGCCCTTCATACAAAAAACATTGGGCACCACTGTATTAGACTGTTCAGTTATATATTCCACAAATATTAAAGTATTTGTTCAAGCAATTGTGCGAAGCAACAACATGTTTGAGTTCATGTAATCTGTTTTCTATGAAGTTCATGTCCTCTTAAATTCAGAACAGTTGAGAGTCTGCCTGCAATTTTTGTGAAAGCAATTTGTGCCAGAGAGTTAATTTAAAGCAAAAACCAAGCATTTGTTTGAACAAATTCAGCTATTTCCTGTAATTTTTTTAAAAACCTTTATAATGATATAAAACTAGGCAATGGCTCTGTTACAAAATAAACACATTCAAAGTGCAGATCAGTCAGGATTTCTGCAAGGGTGTAAGCTTTGAAAGGGAAAGCCCACAATAGGGCGACTCCTTACCAGTTCCACATGTGGCGCTGCATTCAGTCCAAGCCCCATAAATCCACTGGAAATAAGAGACAGCAGTACCATTGCTGGAGTCAAGGAGAGTGTCTCTGCTTATGGTGTACTCGTACCTCACGCCTGGATTCGTCTCTTGAAATAGCAGCTGGAAAACATTAAGAGCAAATTAAAGAGAAATCTTGATACAGGAACAAACAAACAAGACACAAACCACAAATATTCTAGTGCCCTAAATATTATCTAGGGTAATAGGGCAGATAATAATGTGTCATGATTCTCTAATAAACTGATACATTAATAAGTATAACATACTGATGCGTTTTTGTATTAATAATATTTATTATTTTCTTTTAGTTTCAAATATTAAAAATGCAATAAACACAAAAACAGTGGTTAGCATTGTGACCTCATAGCAAGACGATCCCTGCTTGGAGTCTTGTTTTTGGTTTGACCCAGAATCAGGTTAATAAAAACAGAATGTAATATCATATTAGACTCTCCACTGACATATTTCCACAATAAATAAAGGCTTTTTCATGTCTTTTGTTGAAGTTTCTCTCAACAACATGTTTGAGTTTATGTAGTGTCATTTGGTCCAAAGACTGTTTCCTATTAAGTTCATGTCCTCTTTAATCCAGGACAGTTTAGAGTCTGCCTGCAATTATTATGAAAGCAATGTGTGCCAGAGAGCTAATTTATAGCTACTAGCCATAGCCAGCTATAGCCATGTTCCCTTGAGTTTCCTCTGGGTAAGGAAATTGGCCAAAGTGAGTGTGTTTGAATGAGAGAGTTGGTAGGTTTTTCCCAGCACTGGGGATTGTATTGAGTTTTGTAGAGAGAATGGGGAGTTGTATTGGGACTGAGTTAACAATAGTATCAGACTGCAGACTTGCATATACGCAACCTGAGACATGCAGTCTCTGACATGCAATCTCAGACACAATGCACTGAATAGAACTATAGTGACGTCACTGTAAGGGGTAGGGTTAGGGGCAGGTTTAGGGGAGGGGTTAGGTGTGCGCTTTAAAGCATTGCATGCAGTTAAAGAGGTGGACCACAGTCTATTTTTTAAAGCTTGGTTGTGTTTATAAGGTGCAAGACAATGTTTGCTCATGCTTCAATTGTAGAAAATCATGTTTTTCTTTTCATAGATCTTACTTTGATTAAATACAGCTACTTTGCTAACATGAAAATGACTGTAATCTCCTAGTTCCTCTGAAAGGCCCGCCCTCAAGAGGCTCTAATTGATTAGCAAACATAATGTGCTGTGATTTGCGGGTCGGCTCCACATCACCATGTCACACCCCTAAAAGCGTGTGCTTTTGCATTGTGTAAACATGTGTAAACAGTCCAGTCAGAGTAGCTGTTAACAGTTAGCTGTCTGAATCAGACAGAAAAATGAAGCTAAACCTCACGCCTACTCTAAAAAAAAAACATCTGACAAGTGTCTTACACATATATTCAAATTATAAGCATGTTTAAGTAATAGTACATGTTCTCATATCTTTTGCGAGTTTGTTATTTGAGATGTGGAACACAAGGAAAACATTGGCATAGAGAAACAAAGTGGCCGCATAGAGAGACAATGCAGCGTTGCTGAAGATTGTGGGTGTTTACAGCAGTTTGAAAAATAAATATAAATTTGTAGCTAAATTGTTAGCAGTGCCAAACAGCATTTCCTGTTGTTTACATTCTGGTTTACATCATCGCTTCAACACACTGTTAACGCTAGAAACTATGCAGGCAGTTGATCAATTTTAACAAATAAAACTACTTACAGGTTTGTGGCTCACAAATAAAAGCTTCTGCTGTTATGGTTGGAGCTGCTCCTTCTTTGAGGAGTTTTCAGCCAAATCCAGCACTGAACTGGGAAATTCTGGAAGCTGTCCTTGGCCAAATATCAGAGCTCACTATATTTTTTTAAAATAATTTTTTGGGACATAATTAAAATGAAACTAAACACTTTGTCTTTGTGTCGTGTCCTTTGGAAGCCCAAATAAAGAACACGCTCTGTGGAATTAGCATTGTTTGGACTTTTAGCTTTTAGCTTTAACATTACAGCAGCCAAGTTCCTTCCCTGCACAGGGTGTGTGTCCATGGTGAATTCACATAACCAGAAGCCCTTGTGATCTCACTAGCCTGGATGTATTTTTTATAGTCCCCAAATTCGTTTGCTGTAGGCTTTGCTAAGCTAACTCTGTAAAAGCCAATGTCTCCCTTTGCATTGATCTTTGAGCGTCTTACATTCAGAGATGTTGTTTATGTTCAGCTACATTACACGTAAACTAAAGTTTAAAATATGATATCATACTGGACCCCCTTTAATGCACTCTCAGGGTTGGGTTGGGCATTAAAAAATGAGCAAATTAGAAGCGTCTTGAAGGGGGCTGGACTATCAAATAATAAAAGGCATTTGATTGGTCAGAAGATTTGATGAGAAACTAAAGATAAGGTGATATCAAACAGATCCTTTTAGTCTAAAGTGACAAATTGCAAGCATTAGATGTTTATATCTTCTAAATATGAATTTAGTCACTATTTTGGAGCACACTGGCTTATAAATATCCTTAAGACATACTAGTAACATCTGAAACATTTAAACTTTTTTATAATCCTTAATGTGCTGTTAATCATTTTATTTTACTCAAAGCAACATACAATCAGGGATATTCAGTCCCAAAAAACAAGTGTTGCATAATTAGTCTTTCTGTGTGATGAAAATTGCTTGCTTTAAATTATTTTTTCATGTAAAGACAGGGATAGTTAATTAATTCTGTCATTATTAACCTACCGTTCACTTGTTTCAAGCCTTTATAATTTTCTTCTGTTGAAGAGGAATAAAGATATTTTTGAAGAAAGCTGGAAAACTGTTATAATAATAATAACAATAATAATAACAATAATAATAATAATAAAAATAATAATAATAATAATAATAACAATAACAATAACAATAATAATAATAATAATAATAATAATAACCATTGACTTCTGTTTTGTTTCTTTTACCTATTACATACTGTAAATCAGGGGTGCCTAAACTTTTTTTATGAAGGACCAAAAAATTTAATTGATTGAGGGCTGTGGGCTGAACATAAATATGCCAAACTGGGTAATTTTGTAATTTATTTCATGCTATTTAAAATAAGTAGAAAATTTACTTGATCCATATTATTTGTTTATTAACAATATAAATATATTTTTTTTACTTTTCATAAAAACTTTACTTTACCTTGATCTGCCAATGTCTTTAACACACCAATGAAATTATACAATTACAGCTAAAACAGACAATTTTCATTGATAAAATGCCAAATCGAAGAGGTAAGTAGATTTAAAAACAGACAGGAATGAAAAATATGTAATACAGAAGGGCAGAGCATTCAACAACCTGCTGTGAAGGCACGGTCACCTCTACATTTCAACCTCGACCTAGGGATGCTGGTTAGATGACCAAAGAGACCGACCAGGCTAATGCTCAATTAACATGTCTGACCGATAGGAAGGTGCCAGGCCATTTAAAGATTTAAATACAAAGTTTCAAAGTAATGAATATACATGTTCAAATGGTTATGTATTAAAAACTGTGCTGACTTAGAATGGAGGCAGTATTATTGCTGCATATTTTTACTGATTTCACACACTTTTTGCTGATAACCAGTCTTATGTAAAATGTTACACCGTTTAATATCGGGACCAGAGACAGCTGTAAAAGATGAATTCGGAAGTGCTACAAGATTCTTCCCTAATATACATGGCAGAATATTGCATATCAGGACACTAACAGCAAAAATCTGAGTTGTAAGCTGCTTTCATCCACATGGGACTTAATAAAATGCAGTGATAAGAGGACTGTGGAGGCAGATTACATTTGTCTGCCTCCTGCTGCTGTAGACATCCCTTATTCCCCCCCCTCCGCACAAAGATTGTGAGCCAAAGGCCTCCAATTGCTCCGTGGGAGGAAGTGCTTTATCTGGATGGTCCCTCTCAGCTAAACATACAAATGAGCCTAAATCCCTGATAAATGGTTCTCACTTTTATAGTGCTATAACAAGACTAGTATCGTTAGCAGTGCTACCATAATTAACCAGTGACTTAGATTTGTAATTGGCATTTTAAACAATAAATCCAATCATTAAATTAGTTAAATCTTTAAATAGACTGTGTTCTTTTTAAACAAGGAATGAGATAAAGTCTTTTTTATATTTATTGTTACTGCCTGCTGAGTACAGTTTTATTCAAATCCATAGGGTTAAGCCTTTGATTTTATTTATCTTCATTGATAAAATGGTTCCATTTCTCAGTTCAAATATTTATTATTTCAATGAATAAATGAAAAATAAAGCAGTTTTTTAAGATAATTCAGAATAAGTTGGTAAATGATTAATAAACAATAAAAATCAACATGTAAATATTAATGTTCAGACTTATACTAATAGTTAATGTAATTTGTATGTTAATAAATGCTTTATTAAGTCAACTTCATCCAATTTTGTTTCTCAATCTAAAATAAGCTGACTATTTGTAAGCTGACTTTATAAATGACAATTGAAGGTTCAGTATCAAATAAAAAATCTATCTTTGCAATCTATCAAAAAATAAAATTACTGTAAAGCATTTATTAAGTATTGAGTAGCTTATTTTCTTAAGCATTCTGAATAATCTTAAAAAAACAGCAACTTCTCCAAATAATCAACGCAATCTGACGGCAATTCATAACTTTTTGATTTAGCGGCTAATTCGTATAAATTTGTTCAATCTAATTTGTACAGTATGATTTGCTCATCATCTTATGACGGTTGGGTTTAGGGGTGGGTTTGGGTGCCATGCCTCCTTTTTAAAACCATACGTTGAACTCAAATATGAATTAGGCAATAAACTGACAAAATGTAAAGTACTTAAGTTTTCTCGTGAGATCAGGCAGAAATAACTGGTTTGTAAATAATGCAATAATTGATTTAGTCATGAAAAAAAAATATGAAAATACAATCATTAAGCACATTATACTTGTGCTTAAAAGTCAAGGATAGAGCAATTGTATCTGCAGTTAAAACTGTTTACTAACATCTGTTGATGTAGAGTAATGCTTAACAGAGAATGTATTACCTGTTTCCTCATGCTTAATAGATGATTTATAGAATGAAGGTATTATGAAGTGTTACCGTCATTTTAAATGCAAAGGTGACATTGTTTGAGATGTCTTTGTTAACTTGATATAAACAAATACATGACAACCTGTCTTTGTCTTGACATTACCAAGACAATATAACTTGTCATAAATCTGTCATAAACATGACTGTCATGAAGCCATTCAAATTGTGTCATGTATTTTATTCTAGTGTCATTAATATTTTTCTTAAGCTCAACTACAGTTACAAATTAAACTTGTCAATGAAATGTCATTAAATATAAATAGAACATTGTCTGTTAAGCGGTATTCTGGCTCACTGGTTAGCATGGTGACCTCACAGCAAGATCACTCCTGGTTCGACCCAGAATGAAGTAAAAAAAAAATAGAAACTGATATCCCATTGGACTGTCCAGTGACATATTTCACAAATATCAAAAGCTTTTTCAAGTCTTTTGTTGAAGTTTCTCTCAACAACATGTTTGAGTTCATGTAGTGTCATCTGGTCCAAAGACTGTTTCCTATAAAGTTCATGTCCTCTTTAATCCATGACAGTTCAGAGTCTGCCTGCAAATTTTATGAAAGCAATGTGTGCCAGAGACCTACTGTAGTTTATAGCTAATAGTCATAGCCAGCTATGTTCACACGGCAACCTGTCTTTATCTTGACATTACTAAGACAATATTGCCATAAATTTGTTATAAACATGGTTTTCGTGAAGCCAGTATAATCGTGTCATGCATTTTATAACAGTGTAATTAATCATTTTCTTGACCTCAAAACTACAAGTAAAGATTGAACTTGTCATTAAAATGTGATTAAGCATTATTGGGACTGTTTAAAATTATTTGAAAGAGCAATGACACTTTTAGTGAGAATAATTATTGACGAAAAAAAATAATAATAATAATTTATGACATAATTATGAACACTTCATTACAATCATGTTTATGACCAGGGTGCGAATTTGGGTCTGACCCCCCTAATTAACACTTGATACCCCTTAAAGGACATCAAGCCAAGATGTATGAGGGGGTCTGTCCTTAAATAGTTAAAGAAATAGATTGCTCTGATAACTTCAACATATTTGACCACCCCTAAAATGGTTCATACCATTGTGAATGCATGTTTGTGCCAAAAATAGAAATTCATCGTATTGAAACCAGCAAATCTAGAACACCAACAGACATTGTACGTGTTCACAAAACATGCTTCTTTAAATAAAAGGCATTTGTAGGTGTCTAAAACTAGATGTGTAGTTTATATTTTATCACACACTGGCTTGCACATGGTAAAAAAAAAAAAAAATGCATGCAGTTTTTCATGGTCATCCATCAATTGATGCAACTCAGCGTTTACTTAATATAGCAGATGTCATTAAGAACCACTCAATATCCCTTAAAATAAATTGAAATAAATATAGGCGTCACAGTGGAACAGTGGGTAGCACAAGTACCTCACAGCAAGAAGATTGTGGGTTCAAGCCCTGGCTGGTTCAGTTGCTATTTTTTTGTGGAGTTTGCATATTCTCCCAGAGTTGGCATGGGTTTTCAAACACATGTGCTATAGGTGAATTGAATGAACTAAATTGGCCGATTTGTATGTGTGTGAATGTATGAGTGTATGGGTGTTTCATTCCACAGTGGCATCCCCAGATCAATAAATGGACAAAGGTGAAAAGAAAATGAATGAAATAAATATATTTGGTCTACTGAGACATGCTACTAAACATATATATATATATATATATATATATATATATATATATATATATATATATATATATATATATATATACATATAGTTATCTATAACATTTTTGAAGCTCTAAATGCTCAGTTATCTTTCTCATTGTTTGTATACCTTTGCATTCAATAAGTGAGATGTTAAATTATGAGGTCTCTATACAATTTGTAAACCATATCTTGGGCCTCTATTCACTAAACTGTGACCTAGTTTTGCAGAGTACTTTAGCAGGTGCTTCTGAAAAAGATTCTGCAAACATCACAAGCTAGATTCTGCTCATTCACAGTGCGTGAGAATTCAGCATTGAGAGATATTGTACCTGAATCCACACTGGCTCCATGGTCGGTCCGGGGGAAGATAGGTTTTCCAGCTGCCCGGTCCTTTCATAAGTGAAAATTGTCCCTGCAGCCTTATACTCGCCATTCCACTGAATCGTCCAGCCACCGTTCAGGAAATATTTTTCAGGGTCATTACTGCGTAAAGCCAAGTAGTTCCCAGCCTCTGCAACTTCCTCAATACGGATGTCCCGTGCTCCTTCCGGAATTAAACCTATGTCGACATAGCCTGGGAGAAGAAGAAAAAAACAATCAGCTTATTCAAACAAATGAGCCAAAAAGAAAACAAATGTATTATGTTATATTAACAATGTGGAAGTTAAATTTAGTACAGCGTAAACTGAAACTCATTTCACAAACCGAGTCCTTCACTGTCCTCAAAGGTCTTCCTGACAGTCTCACATGTGGATCCATTTCCAAGGCAAACTCCGCATTGATCCTCAACTGCGTCTGAGTCGATCTCAAAATCACAGCCTAAATACTAACATTAACAGATCATAAGTACACTTCATTTATAAAATGTACATGATATATACCCAATCCCAATACTACCCCTTCCACTTGATCCTACCCCTTGATTCGCATATTTACATTAAGTGAATCTTAACCAATTTTTTTTAAATCTAGGAGTAACAGGAAGTACTGTATAATCCTTTAAGTGAAGATTTAGCAGGACCACACTGTAAACTAAAGGGTATGAAAAAAATCCCCAATTACACCAGCTATAGCACACTGTACAAAAATCCTAATTGAAAAAAGTTGAAATTACTTGTTTGTTTGTTTTTTGGTGGTTTGGCAAAAAATCTGTAAAAAATGTTTGTACACCAACATTTACTACGTTTGCTGAACCTAAATCTAAATTTTCTTCAATAAGGTAAAATTATTAGTTTTGGTCTCGAAACTAATCATTTAAGTGAGTGTTGTTCATGCAAGTTCCCCCATAAAAGCTTTTGCCATTTTGTTACTTTAAGTTGAGTTGAAACAAAGGTTGCAGAATTTCTAACCCAAACAACAACAAAAATAATGGTAACACCAATATTAACTTTATTGTCATTATTATTAACAACAACAATAAAATACTACAGCAATAATGCTAAAGTAATTTGAAACTTACTTTTCTGATTTTCATCTCATGTGTACCTAGTTCACTCTACAAAAAGAAATGCTTAGCGTATGTGGACTGTTAATTTGTAGGGTTTTTCCTAACAAAATGAAAATGAAAATTCAAGTGCCTAAAAAGATCAAATAATAAATTGAACTTTCAAAACAATTACCCAAATGATAAATCAAACGCTTCAAATAATATGTCAAAATACAATCTCAAATGAGAAATCAAATGTATTTGATATGTAATTTTTATGATCAACTCAGTAAAATCCTGTAACAATTAAATGACAAATCAAATGCTCAAACTATAATTCAAATGGAGGATTTTCTGGTTTCTCCTGATTACACACACACACACACACACACACACAGCTGGAAGCTCATGATGAACTGATTACTAGGACTATGAAAAACACCTCATTTACACACACTCTTTGCTGAGTCTTGTTTACAAAGAATTTCCCCCAGTTTTTTCTGCCATGTTTTGATCCTTGCCTTGTTTGCCATTATTGTTGTTTTGCCTCCTGTCCTGTTTCTAATTCTCTGTGTAATAAATAGTTTGTTGACATTTGCCTCTTTTTTTTAATTGAACTATGTTTTTTTGTTCTGATTATTTATTATTTCTTAGTACCAATTTTCAAAAGATTTTTTTTGTACACTCAACTCAGACATTTTAGGTCAGTACAACTGATGTCTTCATGAGAAAAACAAAAACAAAAGAAAATAAGGATTATGAGTTTTATTGTTCACTCAACACCAGGCATTCCAGTTCTGCACACACACACACACACGCACGCACGCACGCACGCACACACACACACACACACACACACACACACACACACACACACACACACACACATATATATATATATATATATATATATATTTGCACTGGCCTTAACATTTTTTACAGTGTACATTGTTTGAGAGAGTTATTTAGGAGTAATATTATAAAACGAAATCAGCCTGGGGACATTGAAGGACACTTTCAGAAATACATTTGAATACGATTTGGGAAGAGTGGAATATTGTTTCTTGACATATTATCATGTTTTCACACCTCACTGTTTTCTTGAGATGTTTGTGGTATTATTTTACAGTCAACTGAAATAGCTGGCTGACTGTCATTGAATTAAAATGAAAGTGACAAGCTGAAACGTACAAGGACAAACTAAGGCTGATCAAAGAGGTCAAAGTCATTACCAACCTTGCAAATGCCGTTAACACATATGTCACGACTCTGGCTGCCCTCGTAGCACTGTGTCCCATCAATGACCGTATCCAGCATCCTTTCTGAGAAATGCTCATTCATGGGTCGGCAGTGCAGCTCGCATGGATTAACTGAAATGACACAAATATCAAATTGTGATGAATTCTAATTAAAGGGCTCTGCAAAAAGACGGAAAACTGGTACATGTCAACATCTAATACCTCTGTTATTCACATGTATCCATTTATAAAACTTCCCCTTATAAGGGACCGTGTTGAAGCGGCTGCACTGCATGTGTCTGAAGCTGGGCTGGTCCACAGGACAGGACTCATGGTTACAAGTTCGATATCTTTGACGTTCTCCAAGACAGTATCTTCCTCCATACTTAGGTCTAAAAAGAGACACATGAAAATGTTCAGAAAAGTCATTCAGAATCTTCATAGACTAGACTGAAATTATTATAAAAGGAATGTCTTTGAGACATTAAGAAAATCTAACCACAAGTACTAACTACATATGTACAGTTTAACTGAAAAATATTTGAAGTGGTTTCAGTCATTTGAGTGGGGTCAAAGGTGTACTGTTCTTGAAGAATTGTTAAGGCATGCCTATGCTGTTGCTCAGACGATTGGTGTACATTTTAAAAGAACTGTTATTCCAAACATTCATTCATTTTTTTTCATTTTCTTTTCTTAGTCCCTTTATTTATCAGGGGCCGCCAAAGGGGTATGAACTGAATGCAACCCTTTCAGCTACAACCCATCATGGGAAACACCCATACACTCTCATTCACACACATACAATACAGACAATTTAGCTTACCCAATTCACCTATAGCGCATGTGTTTAAACTTGTGGGGGAGAATGGAACACGCTGAGGAAGCTAACACAAGTACAGGGAGAACATGCAAACACAGAAATATCAACTGACCAAGCTGGGGCTCGAACAAGCGACCTTCTGCTTGTGCAACCCACTATGCCACCATGACGCCTGGTCCAAACATTTAAACTTTTCTTTCTTTCATTCGTTCTTTCTTTCCTCTGTAAAATGTAAAAGGAACTATTTGAAAAAAAAAAAAAAAAAAAACATTTCAGCTCTTTATGTCCATTAGATGCAAGCCAATGATCTTTACATTTTTAAAGTTATGCAGGTAGCATACAAGCTCTGCTGAGGTTTGATGTTGCTATTTATGTTATATTTGATTAAGGCTCTGTGTACGTGATTTGATCCATGGTTTTATTATGAGAATGAATGGCCACTTATATTTCCTTCATTCTAAAACAGTTGTTGTCAAATTTTTTTTCATCAAGTACCACCTCAGAAAAAAAATTGTCTCTCCAAGTCCAGCACTCCACAGTTCAAAAATGTGTCATATTAATTCCTATTATTAAGAATATTTATCATTGTCAGACACTTTAAACATTATAAATAGTATGAATATTAACGCTGTACTTATACAGTTGAGGTCAGAATTATTAGCAACCCTGAATTATTAGACCCCTTTTCATTTTTTTTCCATTTTCTGTTAAATGGAGAGATTTTTTAACGCATTTCTAAACTTATTAGTTTAAATAACTCATTTCCAATAACTGATTAATTTTATCTTTGCCATGATGACAGTAAAAAATATTTTACTAGGTATTTTTCAAGACACTTCTATACAGCTTAAAATTACATTTAAAGGCTTAACTAGGTTAATTAGGTTAACTTGGCAGGTTTGGGTAATTAGGCAAGTTATTTTATAAGGATGGTTTGTTCTGTAGACTATTTAAAAAATAGCTTAAAGGGGCTAATAATTTTGTCCTTAAAATAGTGTTTAAAAAAATAATAACTGCTTTTATTTTAGCCAAAATAAAACAAATAAGACTTTCTTCAGAAGAAAAAAAAAATTATTAGCCATACTGTGAAAGTTTTTATGCCCTGTTAAACATAATTTGGCAAATATTTAAAAAAGATAAAAACTGTATGTATAAGAAAAAAACAAAAACAAAATTAAAAACAGTGACATTTAAAATAAAATGTACTTTTAAAAGTAAAAAATAGTAGGTTACTGTTCTTAAAAAGTAAGTAAATAAATAAATAAATAAATAAATAAAAACAAAACAAAACAAAACAAAACAAAACAAAACAAAACAAAACAAAACAAAAAAACAAAATAAAAATCTGTACTTTAATGTAAATTTTAATATATGTAGCAATTCCATCAACACCTGGAAATGTTGCCTGGACCTCATAAACATAGGGTATATGTCATCATATTCATATATAAATCATTTTTGATTATTATTTTTTTAAAATATATGTAGCATGTATATATGACGTATTTGATTCCTCCTTGTACCACTGGAAGGAAGCCTGCTTACCACTAGTGGTACACGTACCACAGTTTGAGAACCACTGTTCTAGAATAAACCACTAAATTTGTATGGGTGACTTTAACACTTTATTTTTGGAGTTTGAGTGTGGTTGTGAGTTAGAGTGTATGTTTAGAGTTTTTGGAGTTAAGTGTGTTTGTAAAAAAATATTTGTCATTTTTTATTGCACAAAATACAGAACATGAAGTATAACAGTAGAAAACTACTAGTTAACTATTTTTAGAGTACACTAAGAACAATTGCAGTATCAAAGTGTATTCTAGTGACCTAGTGGTTAGAGAGTCAAGACTTTTTGTCCAAATGTCACAGGATCAAGGTCTCTCCTTCAAGAACTAATTATTTACTACAAGCACTACAAAAGTAAACTTCAAGTATACCATTGAAATCACAAATAGTACAACACTAATAGTGAACTTAAAGGTTACTGCTGTTAGAATTAATGTGGGCCACCTTGTCGCCAGCAGTATTCAAAAAGTATACTTGTGTGGAAATATAAATTTTTATAATCAAGCATCATATTATCAGTGATATTTATTTAACTGAAAAGTTATATTTGGTTTTTCAAAACTATAGCAGCCCAGGTGTGGCAAACATTAAAACACATTGCCTTCCTGAGCAGGGGCTGAGACAAAGTCATGTAAATGCTAAAGGTAGAATCCATGTGTGCCACACGCCTGCTTTTGAGTGAAGGTCCCGGCCATTAGATCAACCTGGGGCTGGTTGCAATACAATTCTTAAAGCCCGCCTCCTACATGTTAAAAAGCAAATGCTCCATGGCGCAATGCAATTGACACTCCTAAAACACACCTATAACCAATTAAGAGAATAAACTCAACGTTGTTAAACCATGGGCCATAGCGCAGAGTGGATTTTTCTATCCTTAAAATAGCAAAAGTGGATTCTGACACGCCCTTAATGCTTTTGTGCCCGGTGCTTTGCACTATGTGCATGGATCATCAAAATAACGCCCATAGAACTGTAAATGTTATATATTATTCATATACATCATTTACCGTTGGCTTTTTTATTTAAAAACTTCTAATAAACATTAAAACAAATGCAAATTCCTCTTTGCCCGATATAATGAGGGCATCGAATAAACCAAATGAAAACTAAGGCAAAAATTATAAACAATATACATGTTATGTTGCAGCAGCTGATAGACATCATTTTATGTTTTAATACTGCTAAGTCATTGTACAACTGACAAGGATTATTTGTCACATTTGTCACAAACGCATTGCGTTTCCAGTGTGCTGCATCTGCGTGCATATGAATGGAATGCTATGGGGAGAAAAGTGCAGTGTGACTACAGCTTAAATCGACATGTTGGTTGCACAAACTGATTGATTGCACAACTGATTAAGGGTGTTTATTTGCTGAAATTCATATTAAAATTTGTTTTATTTTAATGTGCAATGTATATTTGTAAAGTCTTTATGCATAGTATATATTTTGAAAAAAGTAAAACAATAAATCATTGTATAAATGCTGTAATGTTTAAATAATTTTCCATTAAAAATGTGTGAAGGTCATGTGACCATCAGGAAAAACGCAGCATCTGTTTTCTCTCGGGATGCGTTCTCTGTTCTTGCGATCTCCTGAGTTTGTTCTTCCGAGGTGACCTGGCAGGACCGGACTTCACAAGTTCTCTGCGTTCTTGGAATTGAGAAACAGCCTTTAGCTCCAACCCTAATCAAACACACCTGAACCAGCTAATCAAGCTCTTACCAGATATACTAGAAGCCTCCTGGCAGGTGTGTTGAAGCAAGTTGGAGCTAAACTCAGCAGGACACCGGCCCTCCAGGACTGAGTTTGGACACCCCTGCTTTAATGTATATCTTACTAACAATCTTTAATAAGTCCAACCATAAATGACTATTTATGGTGGTTGGTTTCAGATACAAGACTTACGGCTGGTACTAGGCTAAACTGCATGTTTGAGCTTTCTGAGAATAACTTGCAGTGACATATCTAAGACAAATTGCCAGAACAATTGTCAGTATACTTTAAATGTGTCAATAATAATTTAGTCCTGGGATCAGATAAAGTATTTTGGTATTCTATGATAAGACAAAGAGGGAAGTGGTGGAAAACAGAAGATCTTTTCCCACATCCTTAAAAAGTTATATGATCAAAATATGATGCAGATGTTGCACATCCACATGCTTTTTATCAGTTACAACATCTTAGAGATGAATTCACATGTTGGCCACAATCTGGTTCTATAACCATTTCCATCTTTGAAAACTTGCTTCGAGTGCAAATCATCTGCCAGAACAGAGAACAGCAATCCAAGTGAAATGCAATGTAATGGTTATACTTCACACACTCTGAACATTTGGACCAGAGACAGTGACTTTTTTATTATTCTCGTGTGGCTCTCCAATACTGTATGGCTTCAGAATGTAACAATTTGTCAGAACCACAAAGACACTTGAAGGTCACTGAGGATAAGTGTGATAATCATGCTGTATGTCTGAAATCATTACTACAAAAAATTCTGCTGACTTCACTCATGAAAAATAAATGTATTCCACTGGACTCTGGGTGTGTGTCTTTTAAACTATATACAAAGTATCCTTTCAGTTTAGTCTTTTTAAGTACTTTTTTGAAATATACTTTAGGTACAAATCAAAAATAAACTTAAAACTGTATTTAAGTATGCCTACCTAGTACTGACAGAAATGTTTTATTATATTTGATCTAAACCTGCTCATTGTTAAATACTTAAGAGCCCATATTATGGGTTTTTGAAAATGCTCTTCCATGTAGTTTGTAACAGCTCTAAGTGAAGTGAAGTATCCAGCTAAGGTTTAAATCTGTTATAGTGCTTCAAACGAGTCGCCTTGATACCGAGTCATTAGGTGTTTCGCCAAGACGTACGAACGAAACCAAGTTTTTCATGTGCACGCGCAAACCCGGGAGATTTCAAACTTGTGGCCTCGCCCTCTGACATAGAAACCCAGACACACACACACACACACACAAACATGCCGGTCGATTAAAGTCACACTGCACATGGATATTACTGAGTCTCTACCCAAAGATGAAACCTCAACATTATAGCCAAGCAGTTGGAAACTACTGGAAACTTCTGGAAACTACATGCTACAAAGAATACTTCATCGGCGTTTGTTAAAGGAAGAATCAGTAAAGAGTAACTTACTGCTGGACATGTCAGGATGGGTTTCTTCCTCCATTTCTCAAGTGTAAGTACGTGCGATTAAAGTTGCTTTGTTTACTATAGCTTGCAAATGTATTTAGTTGTGATTTGTTACTTGTAACTGCGTGTACTGTATGAGGTTAACTCGCTTTATTTTCATATCAGGTGCAAAGCCACGTTTAAAACGCGACGCGTGCTGCGTTTACAGAGCTCCGTGGAGGAGGAGTAGTGTGTGTGTGTGTGCGCGCGCTGTCGTCCGGAGGTGTGTGTGTTTGTGTGTGTGTGTGTGTGCGCGCGTTGTCGTCCGGAGCAGGGTTAAGTGTGTGTGAGTGTGCGTGTGTGCGTGTGTGTGCAATATGTGTGTGTGTGTGTGTGTGTGTGTGTGTGTGTGTGTGTGTGTGTGTGTGTGTGTGTGTGTGTGTGTGTGTGTGTGTGTGTGTGTGTGTGTGTGTGTGTGTGTGTGTGTGAAAAGAGCAGAGACAAGCTAGAAGATCTCCTCAACTGTTTTTGGAGATGTTTATTTACATTGACCCACTGGCAGCTAAAATCCACGCCTACACTATCGAGCGTGTATGAACTGTGATTACTTTTATATTGCTGATTAGCTGTTGGGCATTTCACTCTCTCACTAAAGGCAGTCGACCAATCGCAACAGACTGTCATTGGTCCAATCAGCGCAGATTAGCTTCGCGCTACGGAGGGGTTTGGGAACAAATGAATCACTGGACGATTCATACAGGAGTCACTGGGATAATTAGGTAAAAATAAATGCAGATTATAAGACCATGAAAGTGTTTTTTGACCTTGCATGCATATTAGACTGTTGTTGGAGACCCTTACAACCAAGATATGACCCTATTTCATGTATAATATGGGCTCTTTAAAAATAAAAATATGTGTTTTCTAAACATATTTGCCTTGTAGTAGTTTTTACTCTTTTGATTAAATGGCCTTTTCATTTTTTTTTAAATTTACAATAAATATTAAATTCAAGGCTTAAAGCTAGTCCTATAGGCTAAATGGCAGGTTAGCTCAGTTTAAACTGGGAATAACTTGCAGTGACATATCTTTAAAAAAGTCAGTGGTCTTATTTAACACCAGTAACGTTTTTCTGTTTTTCTGCCTATAGTGGGCCCAGATTTATGCTAAGTATACTTGCAGCCAGACAAATTGTCAGTACTTCCAATGTTTTAATGATTGTTCCTTTCATTCATTCATTCATTCATTCATTCATTCATTCATTCATATATTCATTCATTCATTCATTCATCGATCGATCCATCCATCCATCCATCCATCCATCCATCCATCCATCCATCCATCCATCCATCCATCCATCCATCCACCCACTCATTCATTCATTCATTCATTCATTCATTCATTCATTCATCCATCCATCCATCCATCCATCCATCCATCCATCCATCCATTCATTCATTTATTCATTCATTCATTCATTCATTCATTTGCCTTCGGCTTAGTCCCTTTATTTATCTGCCTTAGCGGAATGAAGCACTAACTTATCCAGAATATGTTTTACACAGCGGATTCCCTTCCAGCTGCAACCCAGTATTAGGAAAGACCAATACACTCTCATATCCACATACACTTCGGCCAATTTAGTTTAGTCAATTCACATGTACTGCATGTCTTTGAAATGTGGGGGAAACTGGAACACCTAGAGGAAACACACGCTAACATAGGGAGAACCCGAAAACTCCACACAGAAATGTTTACTGACCCAGTCTTGCTGTGCGGCAACATTGCTAACCACTAAGCCACCAAGATTACTTCATTTTAGTTTAAACGCATTACTTTTGTTTTATATAGTGTACTTATATGTGCTAAATTGGAACAACTTCATGTTTACTTTATTTTAGTATACTTATATATACCGTTATGTACACTAAATGCATGTGTAACTTAATTACATACTTGATAAGTGATACTAAAGTGTACTTTATTTCTATAACAAGTATATTACAAAAAAGTTCCGAGTGTCTTTAAACATCCAAAAGCAATATACCATAAATGTTCTATTTCTGAGTAAAAATATGATCTGAAATAACTTCTGCTTATTCCTTTTTTGCAAAATTTGGGCTATTTTAACGATCTAGACGCAAAAGAACCATTCTTAAATTTAGTTTTAATTTTCCAGCAAATTAATAAAAGAGCAATAATAAGAAAGTGTGCTCAAAAAATCCAAAGTTATATACAAACACACATGCTGTGACCCATATGGCCCAAAACCTGACATGTGGACAAAAAAAAAAAAAAAAAAAAAAAAAAAAAAATATATATATATATATATATATATATATATATATATGTGCGTATAATAAGTACTACTACTAATAATAATTACATTATATAAATGCAAATTGTCATGAATAAGCTTAAAAAAGACCACCAAGATAAGGAAGGCATAGAGGTACTGGTTTTTATATTTATGTGGAAAATTATATTTTTTGTATCAATTTCATCCTTTTATTCTTTTTCATATGTTAAGATATTAGTGTATTGCTGTACATCCTGTGTGTATTTAGCAATGTGTAAACATTTAAGGTGTACAATTAATGCGCTCTGCACTGGACTTTAGATCTGCTTTCAGTTGGTAAATTGTGCAGCCTAGTTCCTCAAAATAGCAATTCGTCAACAATGCACCTTAACACACCTCCACTCTAGACCATCACACCCATAAGTCCACAAAGAGGTGTAAACGAATTTGCTATTTATTGCTAATGATATGGTAATGGTATGATAATGATAAAGGCTTTTAGTAAGCTGTAGACATGTTTCTTTTGCTGTTTAATATATGTGTATGCTGTTTGTCCAACAATTCCAAACCCTATACATTTAAAGATACCATATAGACAATATACACTACTATCAAACAAAACTATTATCATCAGATCATATGGGAGATAGTGATTATTTATAGTGATAATAATTAAAACACGGAGGGGAAAAGTTTAAATATTCATGCAGGCATTAAAGACTTTGAAGTTAAAAAAAGGTTTGTTCTTTTGTAATTTAAAGAATAGTACATCGTTATTTCACTGTACTTACGCGGTACTTTTCATGTTGAATATCTGGTTGTTACCCCCTTATTACCCTAGCATTACAGTTTGTTCCCTTATACATACGCAAACGTTATTTATACTTACACTATACGTATAGAAAAATACATCGTTATTTCAATGTACTTACGCTGTAATTTTCGTGTTGAATATCTGGTTATTACCCCCTTATTATCCAAGCATTACAGTGTGTTTCCTTATACCTACTCATACGTTCATTATACTTAAACTATACGTACAGAAAAGTACACTTTTATTTTACTGTACTTACGCGTTACTTTGCGAGTTGTAAAGAAAGCGTTACCCAGTCTTGTGCCTTATTGAACCAGGTGTGTGATAGGGCCCTTTGTCTTCAGCAATGCTAAGTAAAGTTACAGTATAAAACTTGAAAACTAATTATTTATTACAAGTATTGCACAAGTAAACTACTTGCATATTGCAGTACAAATGAAGAACTTAATTGTGGACTATAATTATAACACAATTACACAATTTCATTGTACATTTTTATACTTTTACATGCTAAAAAGGGGCCCCATGTAGTATTCAAGAAATTCACTTGTAAGCATTTTACTAGTACATATAACTTTTTACATGAAGTACATTTAAATGTATACATTTAAATGTAAGTATATGTAATAAACCTAAAATGTGCTCCATTGCCTTAAGGGATTCTGATGAGAAATGCAAGAAGTTCAATCATTTCCTTATCAACCATAAAAAATGTTAGTCTTTTCCTAAACAATCTGTGATAAAAATAGCAATTTTCATGGTATCTTGTGGCTTATCTTGATAAAGTGAGTGAGCACTGTGAGTCTGTGTTTATGTGGGTTTTTTTCTTTGGATGAAACTGAGAAAACCAGTGAACTCACACAGGGTTTATGCAGTCCCTTTGGGCATTCTGAACTCCTGTGCCGCAGGTCCTGGAGCAGTCTGACCAATCGCTCCATGAAGCCCAGCCTCCATGCACACTTTCAGGCTGGGTGCCTTTCGTCACACACTCTCCATCAAAACACCACTGACAATAAAACAACAACCACGGCTTTCAGTTAGTCAGTGTATAAAAAATTGGGAAAAACTACAGTTGAAGTCAGAATTATAAGCCCTCATGAATTACTAGCCCCGCTGTAAGTTTTAATCATCAATTTCTGTTTAACAGAGAGCAGATTTCAACACATTTCTAAACATAATAGTTTTAATAACTCATATCTAATCATTGAGTTATTGTTTCAGTTCATATTTTTTACTAGATATGTTCAGCTTAAAGTGTTAATTAAAGCCTTAACTAAGTTAATTAGGCAAATCATTGTATAAGAATAGACTATATGAAATCAATATTGATTAAGGGGGCTAATAATATTGACCTTAAAATATTTTATAAAAGATTAAAAACTGATTTTAATCTAGCCAAAACTAAACAAATTAAACTTTCTCTAGAAGAAAAAAATAAATAAATTGGAAAAACTGTGGGAAATTCATAATTTGGCAAATATTTCAAAAAAAAAAAAAATTCACAGGAGGGCTAATAATTTTGACTTCACCCGTATCTTTTTTTATAATGCAGTTAAATGGAAAGCTCAAAGAAAGGCTGTCATGCCTTGTCCTCTCCACACTTTGTCCCATCAACAGCACCATCCAGTCTGGAGTGGCAGGTTGAGCCCACTGTGCACCACAGGGTGCTGCAGATGTTCTGGAGAGTAAACACATTAAAGAATAACTTCAAAGAAGTTTTAGAAGTCTCTTTATTTCTTATCTGTTTTCATGTTTTGTTCAACTTTTATAGCAGTTTAACAAAAGGTTTTCTTTTCTTTTTCACTTTGACAACCATGCTTTATTTGGGCCTCATTTATGAAACACACGCAAAATTAATAAGCCACTGTTAAGCCTTTTTTAACAAGGTGTACATAACATTTCTGTCCCCAGAATGTGTCTACATTTAATCTCAAATCACCAGACAAATCATTTATGTAAAATGTAAAATCCCCTTCCTGGGTGGTCACAAAAACAGTTTTTGTGTGTCTCCTAATGGAATAAGCATATGAAAATTCTGTCATCATTTATTCACTTGTTCCAAACCTGTTTAAGTTTCTTTCTTCTTTAGCAGACAGAGAAAAATACAGTATTACTTTGTGCCATGTTTTTAGATCAGCATATCTTGCTTTGTGTCCAACAGAGAGATAAATCACACGTTTAGAACAATTTGAGTGTGAGTAAATGATGAACTGCTTCTTTAATGCAAAAGAGCATGAACATTCTGGGCTCTATTTTAAAGATCTAGACGCAAAGTCTAAAGCGCATGGTCCAAAAGCATTAAGGGCATGTTTAAATTCACTTTTGCTATTTTAAGGATGGAAAAATGCTCAAAGTTATTTAAATGGTGGACTTTGTAAGTGGAAAAACTGAACGCTAAAAGTATAAGCCTCCTCTATTCAGCCTCTCTACTTTCTCTTTACTTTCATTCTTTACTTCACTCCTTTACTTTTGTGGATAAGGAAATGGTGTTGTACAACCTCCACTGAAGACATCCATTAGCCTACATATTTAATTTTATTTGTTAAGGGAAAAGATTTGTTTCAAAACTATTTCTAAATTCAGTTCTAATTTGCAGCAAACGAATAAATGAACAATAATAATGATGCGTGGTCAAAAAAACTGAGTTATATCCAAATACATGCCCTATAATCCCATATAATCCAAAACCGGACAGGTGGACAAATCTAAGCTTGCTTTTTAAACAAATTTAAATATGCATATAATAAATACTACTACTAATAATAATAAAATTATACAAAAGCAAATTGCCCTGAATAAACGGGAAAAAAAGCCCCGAGGTGAAGGCATGGAGGCAGTGAATTTTATATTTATGTAGATAATAATAATTTTTTTGTAACATTTTAATCCTTTTAATTATTTTTTAAATGTAAATATATTTGTGTATTGCTGTACATCCTTTGTGTATTAAGCAATGTTTAAGCGTTTGGACCCACATAGATGCATAACTAATGTGCTCTGTGAGGACTTCAGACCAGCTTTTACTTAGTCAATGGCTCGGTCTATTTCAGTTCCTCAAAATACAAACGCAAAACAATGCGCCTTAACACACCTCGTTTGAAAACCAGCACGCACATGAGTACACAACGTGGTGCAAATGAATTTGCTATTTAAACATCGTAGCGCAAAACATAAAAAATTACTGTTGCACTGGTCTAAAAAAAAGCAACAAATCATGGCAAACACGTCTTGCAGCTTATTGCGCCAGGTGTATGAAAGGGCTCTTTGTCATCAATTTCCTACCTTCCACTTGTTCCAAACCTGTTTGTTTTTCTTTATTCTGATGAACACAACATATTATTTTTGTTGGATGTCATTTTTTTTTACCAACTTGCAACATTCTTCAAAATATCTTATTTTTTACTTTTTATTTTTAAAAGAGAGAAAGTCATAAAGGTTTGGAACCAATTGAGAGTGAGTAAATGTAAATCTTAGGGTAAACTTTCCATTTAATTGAAAGATTACACAACCATGCTTTAGAATTAAGGGGAAAACCTGATTTATAGTTCATTAGTATGGCGTCTGCAAACCTAATACTTTCATTGAATAAATAATAATTCTGCAAATGCTATTTCTAATTAGACTCTTTGGTATTTGCATCCCCCAGCATTAGTCAACACATTTCATGCAGTTGTACTTCATGGCCGGGGATTATGCTAACTGTGATCATCCTGCACAAATACAAATGACTGCAATTCATAGTTATTATCACCTATCCTTCTTACAAAATGTCTGATATCCCAAGAATGTGTCTGTGAAGTTTCAGCTATCATTGTAAAATGTGAAGCTGGGTTTTAGCTTCATTACTCCCTAATTTTGTTAGAGTCCTTATATTATGACCAAATTATTAATGATGCTCTATTATTAATAATGGATCTTATGGATATTAATGTTAAAAAATATTGATTTTAATATTTTTCTGCTTCACATTTTTGTGAAAAGCATTTGCATTTTACTTTTCATGATTCTTTGATAAATAAAAAATTCAAAAAGAATACTGTTGAATAGTAACACATCACAGCTTTCAGTAAAAAAAAATTACATCTGTACATTGTAAGAAAAACCAGTGCCATAAAATTCATTTGTATTGGGACAACATGAAGGAATTAAGTTAAGTTAGCGAGGCACAAAGTAACACTTTTTGGTTGTGGCCAAATATTGAACAAAGTAATGGGTTAGACAAACCATATTTACAAACACACAAGCTTCTCCTACAAATGAGCACTGGTTGTATGATCGCTGGACCTATGGTTGTGCCAAGACTAAAAATGTTACTATTTACCCTACCTGTGGGGCAAGTGGTAACAGACAGAGGGTTAGTTGTACAAGCTTAAAAAATCAGATTTCACTCAATTAATTTAAATTCAGTTTGTTTTAAATAGTATATTTCCTCAGTAATTTACATTTTTTTTGTTTTATTTTACACAGCACGGCATGTTTATTTATTTATCTATTTGATAAACACATTTGGATTTATTTGCATTATTATACATTATTATACAATGTATTTATTTGCATTATTAGCAATAAAAAAGTCTATTAAGAAAATATTTTCTATTAAAAAAACATTTTTATATCAAAGGTTCTGATTATTTAAACATTATTTTGTTCATTTAATTGGTGTCCAACAGTGTGTGATTTTTAACACCCTGTTGCAAATAACCCTGCTGTGTCATGCTTTCCTGAAAACCTCAAAAGCATGTCATGGTTAACCCTGAGCGAATACCCGAAAACTCTGTATTACATATTATGCCCAATGTCATGTCCAATGCTCCCCTAATAGTTTTTACAAATTAAAGTGGATTAAACATAATACAAATCCCCATCTACCAAAAAAAAAAAAAAAAAAAAAAGTAATAATAATAATAATTAATAAAAATCAATAACTGTGTTTTTTAGCTCATTTGAAATAAATAATTTGAATAAAGGGCAAACATAATTTTTTGACTTTATTCAGTATTGATACTGCAATAATCAGATAAATGTCTATTAAGCAATGCATCTAAATAATAGTAAGAAATCTGAAGGATCACACTTTAAAAAAGGTCTATGATCAAAATTTTCCCCATGTTTTTAAGTTAATAATATATTAATAAAGTATTAAAGTTAACTATTTCCCAGTTCTGTATTGTTTTTGGAAGGACATCTGTTATGTAAAACATATGCTGGAATAGTTGGCAGTTCATTTGGCGTGGTGACCCCTGACAAATATGAGACTAAGCTGAAAGAAAATAAATAAATGAATAAGTTAATCATGTTTTAAACATGTTTTGTTTAAATTATCAATGTAATTTAAGTTTAAATGACTCATGAATGAAAAAACATATTAAATAAATTATATATATATATATATATATATATATATATATATATATATATATATATATATATATATATATATATATATATATATAAACAACTATAAATAAGTAATAAAAACTGTTTTTACAGTACATGAAAATACATCATAAAACAACTACAAAAAGGGTGGCACAGTGGTTCAGTGGGTAACACTGTCACCTCACAGCAAGAAGGTTGCTGGTTCAAGTACAGGCTGGGTCAATTGGCATTTCTGTGTTGAGTTTATATGTTCTTCCTGTGTTGGCATGAGTTCTCCTACAGTCCAAAAGTAAAGTGGAATAACTAAATTGGCTATAGTGTGTGAATGAGTGTTTCCCAATACTGGGTTGCAGCTGGAAGAGCATTCGGTGCATAAAAACAGGCTGGAATAGTTGGCGGTCCATTCCGCTCTGATGACCCCTGATAAATAAAGGGACTAAGCCGGAAGAAAATAAATGAATGAACAATTACAATAGTATTTTAATATTTTAAGTCGTAATAAGTCAAATAATATATATAACCACAGTGGTTCAGTAGGTAGTGCTGTCGCCTCACAGCAAGAAGGGTGCTCCGGTTTCCCCCATGGTCCAAAGACATGCGGTACAGGTGAATTGGGTAGGCTAAATTTTCCGTAGTGTATGAGTGTGTTTGTGAATGTGTGTGTGTGGATGTTTCCCAGAGATGGGTTGTGGTTGGAAGGGCATCCGCTGCGTAAAAACTTGCTGGATAAGTTGGCGGTTCATTCTGCTGTGGTGACCCCGGATTAATTAGGGTACTAAGCCGACAAGAACATGAATAAATATAAATATTTTCAAATAAATAATATGAAGTAAAGGCTTTTAAAAATTTGAACAAACCTAATTACAATGTCAATATCACACAAATGTCATAGTAAAGTCACATAATTGTGGCATATACTGAAAATCTGTAATGCCAGAACTTATTTAATATTCACCAATATTTGTAGGCAACAGCAATCCTTGCATTTGTGTTTTAAACCAAACAATCATTCATAGAATTTCTAAACCCCTGTAATTTATTCTGGTGTCATTTCTTGAACTGTAGCGGCCCTGATAAGTAAACTGAAGGCTTTATCGACGTCCGAACAACCGAGTGGCAACACTTTTGCTGTGCCCGTGACATTTGGCCAGTAATTGAAAGATGCCCAGTATCTTCCAACAGCTGCTGCAGAAAGAGCACATCTCCAACAGTCCTGCAATCTGATGCCCTTTTCCCTGTTTCATTCTGCAAGATGCCAAACATAAACAAGATATGCAGCTTTTCTTCCATCATTGTACAAGCTAAAATAAAATAGTAAAATGCTCTTCAATGGTTCATAAAGTACTGCTTCAATGTAAAACATACTATACTGATGATGTGAGATTTCCCTCTAAACAGCTGGGAATCAGATGGTACTGATGGAACTAAAAACTTAGACTTCCTCTGGGATGGAAAGTGTGTGTGTGGTCTCTGCAGACGCTTGAACTAATAGGGGTTTTTGTTGAGCGGTTCACATTATAACAGTGAGAAACCCCAAACAGCCTGTGGGCCTGGAAGTGAGCTGCTTAATGGGATACTTTTATAATGAGATAAAAACCCATGAAAAACACATGACTTCTTTGTTGAATAGACCATCATGGGTGCACTGAATACTGCAGAGTAGCTCTACTTTCTGAACTCTGTCAGAATATATTTATTTTTTAGTAGGTTACATTATTGCCAACATTTTTTTTTGAACAATTCCCAGCAGATGTTTGTTTCCGAATGACTTTCATCATCTGTATTTCATAAAGCGATAATTTAAGAATTAAATTATTAATTACATGCTGCATGTGTAACCCATTTTTCTCAGTAGTTTGGCATCAGACAGCTGTCTGCAGGGGGAAATAGAGGTATTTCTGGGTTTGAGGAAAAAAAAAAAAACCTTACATCTACTTCGTCACAGAGCAGTGAACTGGATCCATACTGCAGCTTGCACTGATGAGCAGCGCTGTACAGGACACCAGGGGGAGCAGGGTGAAGATCCAGCTCATTTCTGACAGGAGGGTCATCCAGACACCAGCCCCAACCTCGACTGCGGAGAACAAGACAAAAACACAGCAAACACTCAGGCAAAACTTTCTGCTTTGGTTTAATTCAGAGGTCATTCTGACTACTCTGTAATGAATTGAAATGTATTCAGATCCTATTTACATTCGACTAAAGATTTAAGAATTAAGCTTTTGATCATCATATTTATGAAGTCATTACTCTAAAATTATGATATTTGTTGTAATATACCCTTTAATTGTGTAAAGGATACTAGACTGCCCTCAAATGCACATACAGTCGAAGTTTTCATATGTAAAGATTAAAGTTAAAGTTGTGTATCGTGTACAACAGGCGTGTCCAAACTACGGCCCGCGGGCCATCTGCGGCCCGCAACCAGTTTTGTGGCGGCCCGCGAGGCTTTTTATAGATATCAAGAGAATCTGGCCCGCTATACAAAAATGAACGTAATTCAATAAATAACCACCGGGTGTCGCTGTTACATGCATTCAATTAAGCAGCAGTTCTTGTTATGATCTATCTATCTATCTATCTATCTATCTATCTATCTATCTATCTATCTATCTATCTATCTATCTATCTATCTATCTATCTATCTATCTATCTATCTATCTATCTATCTATCTGTCTGTCTGTCTGTCTGTCTGTCTGTCTGTCTGTCTGTCTGTCTGTCTGTCTGTCTGTCTGTCTGTCTGTCTGTCTGTCTGTCTGTCTGTCTGTCTGTCTGTCTGTCTGTCTGTCTGTCTGTCTGTCTACACACAGTTGAAGTCTGAATTATTAGCCCCTCTTTGATTTATTTCTTCTTTTTTAAATATTTCCCAAATGATGTTTAACAGAGCAAGGAGATTTTTACAGTATGTCTGATAATATTTTTTTCTTTTGGAGAAAGACTTTTGTTTTATTTCGGCTAGAATAAAAAGCGGTTTAATTTTTTTTTTATGAACCCATTTAAGGTCAAAATTATTAGCCCCTTAAGTCTTCAGAACAAACCATTGTTATAAAATAACTTGCCTAATTACCTTAACTTGACTAGTTAACTTGATTAACCTAGTTAAGCCTTTAAATGTCACTTTAAGCTGTATAGAAGTGTCTTAAAAATATCTAGTCAAATATTATTTACTGTCATCATGGCAAAGATAAAATAAATCAGTTATTGGAAATGAGTAACTAAAACTAATGTTTAGAAATGTGTGGAAAAAATCTTCTCTCCGTTAAACAGAAATTGGGGAAAAAATAAACAGGGGCTAATAATTTAGGGGGGCTAACAATTCTGACTTCAACTGTATTTATATATATATATATATATATATATATATATATATATATATATATATATATATATATGCGTGTCTGTGTGATGTTTGTAAAATTTGGCCCGCGACAACATTTGTTTTTTTGCATCTGGCTCTCGGCCCAAAAAGTTTGGACACCCCTGGTGTACAACCTGTGTGTATTAAGCAATGTGAAAGTGTTTGGACCCACACAGGTGCACAAGTAATGCACTCTGCGCTGGACTTTAGACCAGCTTTTAGCATTGTCAATTGTGCAGCCTATTTCAGTTTCACAAAACAGCAACATGCCAACAATGCGCCTTAACAAACTTCCTTAATAGAACAGCACACCCATGAGTCCAGAAACTGGCGCAAATGGCTTTTTGCTATTTAAACAATGTGGCTCAAAACTTGAAAATTAGGGTTGCGCTGGTCTGAAAAAGCAACAAAACACGCTCGACATGTCTTGTACCTTATTGTATGATATAGCCCTTAAACTATATGCAAGCAGGAAAGCAAGGTTTTTGAAAGTTTAAAAGACACGACTGAAGTAAATTTACGTTTTTACTTTTAGAAAATTGCTATAGGCAACATAGGCCTGCATATCCATAGACAGAAAATATAGGGGACACTGAAATACACAAGGTCATTTTGACCTTTATGTCTATTCAAGTTAGAAATACAATCCTCTTTATTTATTCCCTCAATCACTCACTTCACTTGAGCTTATTCTCTGTTTATTAGGGGTCTCCACAGCAGAGTGAACTGCCAATTAATTGTTTTTCAGACTTGACGCCCTTGCTATACTAACTCAGCACTGAGAGTACAACACTCACACACTCTCTCATTCAGTCACACACCATGGCCAATTGCATTTATACAAATCACCTATGTCTTCAGACTGTGGGGAAAACCAGAGCTCTCAGAGGACACGCACACAAACACAGGGAGCATGCAAACTCCACACAGGAAGGCATCCTGGTCCAGTCAGGATTCAAACCAGCAACCTTCTTGCTGTAAGCCAACTTATCCAGCATATGTTTTACACTGCGGATGCCCTTCCAGCTGCAACCCAGTACTGGAAAACATCCATACACTCATTCTCACACATGCACTACAGACAATTTCATTCATTCATTCATTCATTTTCTTTTCGGCTTAGTCCCTTTATTAATCCAGGGTAGACACAGTGGAATGTATCGCCAATTTATCCAGCACATGATTAACGCAGCAGATGTCCTTCCAGCTGCAACCTGGTACTGGGAAACATTCATTCATGCTTATTTATACACATGCACTACAGACAATTTAGCTTACCCAATTCTATAGCACAAATCATTGGACATTGGTCTTCCGGAGCACCTGCAGAAAACCCCCGCCAACACGGAGAGAACATGCGAACTCCACAAAGAAATGCCAACTGACCAAGCCAAGGCTCTAACCAGCAACCTTCTTGCTGTGAGGTGACCCTCAGAACTCTGATGTGTTTTGTAATTTTAATAAAGTGACAATGCTAGTATGAAATAATAATATATTTACACATATTTAGGAAATGGGCGACTTTAAGTTTATTTTAACAAACTTACTAAATAACAAAGTGAATAAGCTTTCAAAATGAGTGCACTGGGGTGTGTTTTCTAAACAATAATGTAACTTGCCACTGAACTAGTTCGATGCATTGTTTGATAAAAGAGTGATGTAGTGACGAGTGTTTCTCAAAACCTGTAGTTTCTCTCTCGCAGATCCATCATTTGAACCATGTTAGTTCTAACGTAATCTGTCCATAATAAAGCTCTAAATGTGAAGCTCTTTTTTAAAGAAAACACCATACTTTTTTTTGTGCAAATTGTTTTAGGCTACGTGGTCGCACATTTTTTAAAAATCCAATATTAACCTGCTTTCCATCTTAATTAAAATATTCTGCTTTCCTTTTTACTCTCCATACTGTATCACCTATAACTTTCTTTATGAGCCATGGCTGCATCCAAAATGGCATTAATGACTTTAAAGTGCACTGCGAAGGGAGTGCAATTGTCAATGTGACGACGCTCAAACTAAACTGTAAAAAATACTTTGAAAGCAAAAAAAAAAATCAGTTGCGGGCTGGTTTCGGCGTTAACGTGTTGCATTAACACGAGACTCTTATCACGCGATAAAAAAATAGCGAAGTTAATTTATTGTCAAAGTTTGTTTATGAGCTGGGTCTATTTTATGCAAGCTATGATGACTTTCACCTTGATGTTTTAGCGCGGATGTATACCTGACCGGTGAGCCGTCTGACAAAAAAGTGCCCTTCTGAATCAAATCAGCAGTATGCCTGACTTTAACTGCAGTTCGGCAGTTTCACTTTAACTCATGAATATTTCATTCATGCCGCCGTGACAAACTGGGGTATTAGAAGCAAATAAGGAGTAAGGACTGGTGAGAGAGTTATGGAATTTAATCAGGCACACCAAATGAAAAAAAAAAAAAAAAACTTCTGCATTTCGCGATATGTGTGTGCATGCATGTGTGTGTGTGTGTGAGCAGTCCTTTACTGACAGCCACGTGAGTGGATTTTGTCAAAAAATATGGTGCCAAAAAAGCCACAAATATTTGCACACTCCACGTCATAATTCCATTTATGTTTAGTTCAGTTGTGACTTTAGTCGGATTAAGGTGATCAAAAATCGCTGTTTGGAGCTTATATAGGCCTACAGTTCAAAATTCATGTTTAACTGAATAAACAGTTAGTAAACACAAATACATCTTATTGAACATCATTTATTTTCATCACCAATTATCATAGAACAGTTTCTCAAGCAGTTTGTGATGCATTTTGTAAACTGGAGATGAGCCCATGGTCTTTTGCGCCACCTGGCTTGAGAAACCCGTTCTCAAAGACTTATAGTCATTATTTGGGTAGCACACATATTCTGAATGCCTTCGGCATAATTCAAATAAGATTAATTTTGGAATTAATCTAGAATAATATAGATAAAAAAAAATCCATGCTCACCTATAAAAAAAAATACACCTAAGTGAGATGACTTTAATGTTTTATGTAATCATTCCGAGTTAAATGTTGGAACTTTTTAATGAATAGGCGATGACTGGGAATAGAACACAGCCAGGAACTCTGCTTCTAACTACAGCTCTAGAGGTGTAGTTGCAAACTTACAGTTTGCAAATGTTCAGTGGAACAAGGGATTTGGGAAACACAAAATCAACAAACTATGTTTGTAATGATGGAACTTGCAACCTTAGTTGGCTAACAGTGGTTTTTGGAAATGCACCCCAAGTGGTTGTAGTGTTAAAGTCTGTGTGAAATAAAATTGTACAATGTTTATTTAGCTAGCGCACATTGTTATTTTTTAGAAAAACAATTAATCCTTGCAAGTTAATTTACAGATTTTTTTTCTTTGTTTGTTTGTTTTGGTCAATCAATCTTCAATCCGAACATTTGCTTTCACATTTAAAGTGGTGGTCATTCTTTGTTGAGGTCAGTTTGAAGACTTCAGCCACAATATTTTTAGTCATGACCCTCTTACTGTCCATTTTCTATAAATGAATGAGGCACAAAAAGAAAGCCCCACCACCTACTAAAAATTTTGTTTCAATTGGAAGTATATCAACATACTGAAATAAAAGTTTCAGCAACTTCAGGTACAAGCAGACTTTAAGCTTTCATAGAGTAGATCTAGTATTTGTTCAATTATGTTGCATTATCAGAAAGTAAAATAAATAAATGTTGTGTTGCTTCATTCCATATTTG